TGGAACGGTTCCGCCGAGGCCGCATCCTGCGACCGCCGAAACAAGACTTGGGCACTCCGCAGTGTACAAGTTTTCTTGTGGTCTACCATGTATGCCACCTAGAATGGCGCAGTCCTCCGGGTAGTCTTCGCATCTTGTCCTATTGAGGTGTTTTTGAAATGCATGAGGCCTCACCGCACGTACCGGTTGCTACAACGTCAGCGCGAGGCTTGCTGACATGGCGCCGCACCCAAGACCCTTTCGCCGTTTACAAGCAGAGTGTGTTTAGAAAAATTGACGGCAGATCCACGAGGTGAATGATGATGAGATTGGGCGAAGCTCCTGGAAGTAATACCGTGACATTTTCTTCCGTTAATTCGCCTGGCGATATGCGCGCTTCCTCGCCGCTTCCCATTGTCGGTGCTTCGCGACCTTGACGTGCTGCCTCGGCCTCTCGTTCCCGTACGGAAGGATCTTCCCGACGCTGACGTGCCGCTGCAGCTTCTTGTTCACGTACAGCGGGATCTTGCCGACGCTGCCTTGCTGATGTGGCCTCTCGTTCCCGTACGGAAGGATCTTGCCGACGCTGACGTGCCGCTGCAGCTTCTTGTTCACGTACGGCGGGATCTTGCCGACGCTGTCTTGCTGATGTGGCTTCTTGTTTCCGTACAACAGGATCTTGCCGACGCTGCAGGCCTTGCTGATGTGGCCTCTCGTTCCCGTACGGAAGGATCTTGCCGACGCTGACGTGCCGCTGCAGCTTCTTGTTCACGTACGGCGGGATCTTGCCGACGCTGTCTTGCTGATGTGGCTTCTTGTTTCCGTACAACAGGATCTTGCCGACGCTGCAGGCCTTGCTGATGTGGCCTCTCGTTCCCGTACGGAAGGATCTTGCCGACGCTGACGTGCCGTTGCAGCTTCTTGTTCACGTACGGCGGGATCTTGGCGGCGACGTCGCACAGCTTCCCGGCGCGCTTCTGCCTCGCGTGCTCTCACTTCAGGGTCCTGTCTGCGAGCGCGCGCCACCGCAGCCCTGCGCGCCCGCCTTTCGGCATCCTTATCCATACGAGTACACACTGATGGCAACGAGCATCGGCAACTACAAACCTGTATTGATATGGTTTTGATTGTAATACCATTGCTTTAGAAAACACCTGTTGTCTTTCGTTTAGCAGCTGGCGTCTTCTTTTTGTTTTGCTTTAGAAAACATCTGGCGTCTTTCGTTGGTTTATTTAATCAATCAACGGTGTTTAGAACAAAATTCTTTTATTATTTATTCACGCACAGTAGAAATCTCACCAGGCACTACCTTGGAGGTAAACAATGGCTGCTACTGGGGATGAGAGACAGCAGAAGTCGGCTTTCAACACTTCTACTTCTACTAACGTTTCCTACTGGAACACGTCAATGGCTGCTAACGGGGAATGAGAGAAAGAAGAATTCGGCTTTTAGTTAACGCGCACGCTGCGAATTTTTTTTATTGTTCAACAACGCACAGGAGAAATCTCCCACCGGCACCACCTTAGAGGTCAAAGTGTAAAACTGGCTACAAACTACGGCTACGACTATGACGACGAGGGACGGACGGGTGCCGCTATAAGGAGCTTCGCCCCTAAAAGTGGGTAACGATTTAGTGTACTAGGTACACTACTATGGGAGGGCATAATGCTGTCCCGTGAAAAAAAATATTTCACGTGTGTGGGATAAGACTACACAACTGCTGAACGGCTTGCGGTTTTGTGCACTAGCGTAGCGTAGAAGCATTGGCAGGGGAGCGAATGCTTTAGCGAGTGTCCCGCTCATTTTAAGCACTTCTGTCGCCGTTGTCTGGCCAAAGAATTCAAATACATTTTCTTCTAAGCCACACACATTTTTATAGGAATTAGTCGTTAACTTTAAGCGCCTTCCTTTTACCACCAGAAAGTGGGAAAATATTTTTCCCTTACTTTGGCACAACTAAAATAACACGTTTTCTGCTTCAGCGTTAGAGAGTGATAACTGAAGTAACCGGAGTTTCTTGGGAAACAACACGTGCTTATACTATTGGTACGTTGACACCGACCGAAAAGGGGTATAGAAAGTGGGCGCGAGGCTACGTGAAGCTGCTCACTCTTTCTCTCTCTCCATACGGGACAAGGCTCAGCGCCGCGTCAAAAAGACGCGCGCCGAGTCGACGCGCTAAAACGGTTATGTGTGGCCTGACCTAAAGGGATACGGAACAAAATTTTTGCCGCCAATACTTTCAGCCAAATCTATAGATTTCACTGTCATGAAATCGATAGAGACAACTTTCATTCCACGCAGAAACTACGGTAAAATAATGAATTTCATCTGTTTTTTTCACAAACTGTCGCTCCTAGCGGCAGCATCGTGAACCAGAGGGTGTGACATTTGGTGACGTCAAGCTCACCCGAAACTGGCAAGCCAACGATGCCAGCCATGGCCCACACCTCTCGACTCGTTCATCTTCCAGATCGGTTCTCAGAACCGGTATTAACAGCAACAGCAGCGCACAATGCTTCTGGTTGGGGCAAAGCGCAAGCGCTTTTGTGGAAGAGAAAGAGTGGAGTGAAAGAAGAGGTGGAGAAAAGGAAGAGGACGACGAGAACACGTGCATCCTGCGTATGCCTCGGTGAGTTCGACGTCACTGAGGCACTGCGCCGTGCTCCCGACCTAGTTGCAGAAATTAGGCGTCTTTTCTCATCTTCTAACCACTACCACCACCACGTCACTGCTCGCACTCGCTAGCAGCCGCCGCGCGCTCACAATCCATCAAAAATACAACAAATTGTTAGAAAATACGGGAAATAAACTTCGTTTATCAGAACAGGGGCATCTTCCGAGAGGAATTTTAAAGTTTCATCAGTTTTTTTTTCATAAAAAAATGAACATAGAAGACAAAATAAGTTTTATTTGCCTCGCTGGGTTTGAACCCAGTATTCGATTGATTGATATGTGGGGTTTAACGTCCCAAAACCACCATGTGATTATGAGAGACGCCGTAGTGGAGGGCTTCGAAAATTTCGACCACCTGGGGTTCTTTAACGTGCATCCAAATCTGAGTACACGGGCCTACAACATTTCCGCCTCCATCGGAAATGCAGCCGCCGCAGCCGGGATTCGATCCCACGACCTGCGGGTCAGCAGCCGAGTACCTTAGCCACTAGACCTCCGCGGCGGGGCGAACCCAGTATTTGAGTGTTACTTGAAGCTAGGGTGCTGAAACAGGCTGCCCACGGGCCACATTCGGCCTGCGGTTCACATGATATAGTTTTGCGACTATGCTAAATAGGGCTCGCATTATTTTTTTAACCTATTGCAATTCGTAACGCATTGTTCAGTAAGCTACGAACACGAGACAGGTCTCAAGCTTCCTTTCTTTTTTTTTCTTGTTTCGTGATACCTTACGCGGTTACTATGTATAGAAAACATCATCGTGGAACGAAAAATATTTCAGAACAGGAGTCCAAATTCTGGTGGTTGGGAAAATAAGCATCGATATGTTTTTCGAAACCTGGCGTGAGGTGCCCTTAATAAACAACCTACATACGGGATGTTCGAAAGGTGTTCCTTCAAATTTCAAAGTTGTGTGAAATTTTGTACAAAATCCCCCCCCCCCCCTCTTCCCCTACACTCCGCTCTTACCGAATTCACTGTGCCCGCCCTTCCGGGACTAAACTGTGCAACTGCGGCCTGCAACTTGAAGTGCGATTAAACACCTACTACATGAACCCAATACGGGTCACTTCATAACGGCACTACACTCCTTATTCGACTATGTTTCACCGCTTCAAGTCAACTTTTGTCTTCCTTTGCTTTATATAATGTAGTGCGTATTGCTATACTGTTCATTAGAATCAATAATAATTGGCATTTAGCAAGATAAATATGATAGATCGAACAGTTACACACTTGTTTCTTTTTATAGCCCAGCATCCAAACAAACAGACCCCAATTTCTATTCATTTGTTTGTAATTTTAAACTGCAAAAAAAAATGTAAATGTTTAAATACCGGTATTGTCCCTTTGAAAGCGCCTGCCAAACTAAATTGATTAATCGGCCGATTCTCTCATCAATAGAGACGCAGCAATTAATGGTTGAGGTGCTGAACGAATATTTGTTCATCAATTGGAAATATTTATCGACCATTACTACCAGGAATTGAGTCGGTTCGCTTGGCATGCACTGTCATTTTTAATTTATTAAAATGTGTCCATTAAACAGATATATTGCTTACAGATCACTTTATGTCTGAAGTTCTGAACATTTCATACAACTTACTTTCCATCTCTTTTTGTCTTTTTGGACGTAATTGACTTGGCGGAGTGTTTTAAAGTAAAACAAGCCTAGTGGTCTGGGCAAGATGGCACTTCTATCCAGTAGACTGTACATGAAACGAAAATCAAGTAATGAGACAAGAACACACATCTGTTATGCTACGTGTCGCCAATCTCCTTCTTAACATTGGTCATCGTGCAGTGCACACGTACAGCAACTAATTAAACTCCACTGAAGTCCTTCGATCTTCATGCGTGAAATCGTGACTCTTAGAATAAAGTAAATATGTAACAACTGCGGGTTAGGCTGTGAGCTGCTGGGCGTGTCCATTTTTATAGAGTGGCCTTTTTTGCGCAGCCTACCCGAAAAGATCAACCAGAGGACAACTCAAAGTCGCAACTACGTGCAGGCACTTCACTCCACCCAAATGCGCAGTGTTTGAATTTGAATTTTATTGATCACACTTTTTACAAAAAAATTTGCATACACTGCGTTGACCCATAGCCATAGGCTAGTTTGATAGGCTAGTTCTTCGTGCACTCCATAATAAACACTCCACAAGGCATAGGAACGGTAGGCACAAAAAAAAATAGAGGCATGGAGAAGGCTGGATCTTGCTCAATGGTCAGGACATTTCAAATATGCCACCAAATAAATTTTTTCACTACTTTTTTGGTTTTAGCAGGCGCACGACATCAGTGCTGGCAACACTGTTGTCAATTTGTTCCCGTCGAAATAAGCACACTTTCCTAGTCGCCGCCGTGCCCGTGCCGCCGTCTTCTTTCGCGACCGTGTTGTGCACGTTGTAATGCCGTGATTGATTCGCTTGTCGTTGTACACGCTTAATATGCCTTCAATGGAGGGTAGTGCGTACCAAACGCTTTACAGACTGCTATTAACTGTTGTAGTTGCGATCTCGACTGTGCGGCTAAGCCGATTCGGCGCATATGCTCTGTACGAAGACCAAGCAGGAAAGTTGGACTGGCGGCAGCGATTCATCGGGAAACCTCTGTTCGTGTATGCCGACCACAGCTCAGTGGGCTCTAATCAACGCATCGTCGTTGCGACCGAGAAGAATGTGTTGGCCTCCCTCAACACCCGGAACGGAGCCCTGACGTGGAGGCAGGTGCTTGAACAGGATGGCAGCATCCACGCAGTATCCTCCTCCGGCGATCTCATTACTGTGTCGGGCAGTGCACCCTACGTTCGAGCCTGGGACGTCCATACGGGAGTGCTGCAGTGGGAGAAGACCCTACCGCACAGCTCCGCCCCCTTGGTCAGGTACGACGTCAATTCTCACTCGAGCGAGCTCACAGCGGTCGAGGTACATTCGGGATCCCACGTCGTCGCAACCATCTACAACCTACAAAACGGTGAAATGAAGACATCTCCAGTCGTTTCGGCTCCGTGGATTACCGATCGGACTGACTGCCGGCTTGTGGAGCACAAGTACCTTGCGTGCCTCGACGCCAGGGCTTCAACGATTCGAGTGATGGCACTCGGTGAGTCGGCAGCCTTCCGCGACGTTCCCTTGTCCTCTCTCGGCATTCAGCTCGAGGACCCAACCGCCGTTCCGGTGTTACAGCCCATCCAAGGTTCAACACGCGCCCACGAAGACTCGTACCTCGCCTTGCGCATGCCAGAACGTGGTTTCGCCTTGTTGCGAATTACCAAGACGGGGGTGAGGCTCGCCAAGATGTTCCCGAATGCGACGCACCTTATTAGTATGGGAGACGGTTGGCAAATTACTCGAAAGGCTCAGGACAACATGGCCAGCAGCACAGGTGATGAAACTTGCTATATAGGCGTAGTTGAACAACTTGAAAATGGCATCAGCAAGGTTTTTATACATGAACTGGGCGGCAACTGGCAGCAGAAAGAAGACAGTGAGGGTCAGTTTGCGATTCCTCCGACTATGGCAAATGCAGAGAGTATTCATTTACTGCCGTTTCTACTCAAGGATCTGAAACAGTCATATAAAATTTTAGTTGTGACTGAAGATGATGCCGTTCTCCTTTTTCACCAACAGGGTCGTCTATTATGGACAAGAGAAGAGGCCTTAGCATCGGTTCTTGGGGCACAGTTTATAGACCTGCCTCTATCAGAGACAGATGCAAAGATTGAACAAGAGTTTGGAGACGGCAATGCGAATGTGCTGGCCATGTTTCTTATGCGCATCACGATGCAGCTTTGCCAGTTACAGAGCTTGCTGCTAAGTCTATTTGCCAGCCTCAGTGGCACTATAGGCCAACCAGAAGTGGGTGCGACTGCGCGGGATTTGACACGGGACAAGTTTGGCTTCAACAAAGTGATATTGCTGAGCACTGCAGCTAAAAAGTTGTTTGCCTTGAACAACAGAAATGGGCAAATAGTTTGGAGCCAGCATTTTCCGCAGTTGCATCCACTGAACAGTGCTGGCACTAAGAAGCTCCCAATATTTGTTCAGAGGACAACTGCGCATTACCCGCACCCACCTCGCTGCACAGTACTCGGCAAGCATAGTTCTGGCCATGGGTACTTGGTTTCAGTGAACCCCATAACGGGAGTTATCTTGGACACGCAGGAACTTCCCTACCATATTCTACAAGCTTCCTCGTTACCTTTTCTTGATGATGAGTACACCAGGGGACTCCTTTTCCTAGATAGCAAGCTTGGTGTGCACACATACCCGACCTCCGCTGCAAAGCTTGTCTATGAACATCGTGGCACGCAGTATCTATTCACCGCTGATCCTGCCACCGGAGATCTTGTCGGATATAGTCTGAGGCCGTCAACTCCGACAAAGCTCGCAGTAGAAACTGTGTGGACAGCGTCTCTTCAGAGCGAAGGGCAGAAGATTACGCACGTTGTAATGCGCAACCCATTGGAGCATGTTCATTCACAAGGTCGAGTCATGGGTGACCGCAGTGTTCTGTACAAGTACCTGAACCCAAATTTGGTTGCGGTTGTGACCGAGGGCACCGATAATGTCCACAAGGTAACCAGTGTGACCGTGCACCTTATTGATGTCATAACTGGAGCGTTCATATACTCCGGAAGTCACAAGAGAGCCAGGGGCCCCGTTCACTTGGTGCACACGGAGAACTGGATTGTCTACTGTTACCACAATGAAAAGTCTCGTCGGGCCGAAATTTCTGTGATTGAACTTTATGAAGGTGCTGTTCAGAGCAACACTTCCGCATTTTCATCATTCAACTCGCCACCGGGAGCCATTGTGGAACATCAGAGTTACGTCTTTCCTAGCTCAATAGATGCCATGGTCGATACCGTCACCGAGAAAGGGATCACAAGCAAACATGTATTACTAGCCCTTCCAACTGGTGCTATTCTGGAACTGCCAAAGGCACTTCTTGATCCAAGGAGACCTATCACACCGACAGCCCTACACCGGGAAGAAGGACTTGTGCCGTACATGCCTGAACTACCCATCAGTGCCGAGCATATAGTAAATTACAACCAGTCCGTTGCTAGAGTGGCAGGATTTGCAACTGCTGCTTCGGGACTAGAATCTACCTGTCTAGTAGTTACTTATGGACTGGACATTTTCTATACTAGAGTTACACCATCTAAAACATTTGACATCCTGAAGGATGACTTTGACCACGTTTTGATATCTGTTGTGCTTACAATACTTATTCTGGTTTCATACATCAGCAAGCGGTTTTCTGCGAGAAAAGCATTAAGAGCAGCCTGGAAGTAGCGTTTCAGAAGTTTCTAGAGCAACTGCTCATTATGGCAGGAATGCTGCATGATGAACAAGATGGACTTGCCTCTATTTTCCATCAATTTGTGCCGCAAGCCTCATTCTGCACAGCTGTTTGCACCTGTACGTTTTGTTTCACCATCATGGACATTTGTGCAGTGAACATTTTTGTTATAAGGATATATGTTGGTTCATGAAGGGTTTAGGCTAGTGCGATAGTTGTGTTGGTTCAAGAAAAAAGTATGCTGAACGCAGCCTCGCAGTGGTGTCTTTATTATTGTCCCATTTGAAGAGGCCAGTGGATCCTCTGAAATTTAGAAAGAAGCAATTAATGAGCTGAATATTTAAGTATGTACACTAATCTTATCACTGTCACTGTAGTTGATTTTATTGCTAATAATAATATATTTTCATTCCCAGTTTATTTCTAATTTCTCTCATTTTACGAAAGATGGCATGTTTCTTTGCTTTTGGCATTAAAAACATTTGTAAATACTGATAAAGGCGCTCCTGCCTTTGTACTGGCTAGAACTGAGATAAATAATTGAGCTATTGAACTAGCTAAACACTGCAATAATTTTGGTCCTTTTTCTTTGTGATGCCCTATGCAGAGAAGAACTCTACTCTATACTTATGATTGCCCTTCCTTTTGAGCACATCCAATTCTAATGTCAGCTCAATCAATTCCTAATCAAAGGAATGCCAAGATCAGCATGGTTCTTGCTTTAATTGTGCCAGGTGTCACTTAGATGAAATGAGATTTTTTTTTTCCAATTCTTATGTCTCTGTTCACAACCTACAAGAGAACATATCAAAGTGCGCATCAGACTAGCACAGTGTGTATGTTTGCTATGTGCATTGACCTAGGCATTTGATTTAATTTTAATACTTCCTGGCTTGATTAGGTGCAGCACAACATGCCTTCATGTCGGGTAAATTTGCCATCTTCGTATGTTAAAGATTTATGTGCAATTATACTTAAACACCTTACCCTTCTTTGTCCTTTTGCTTCTGTGTTATGCACTCTCTAAACCAGTTCACTGAAAGTCTGTGCTTCCTCGCCCTAGTATTTTTAACCTTTGCCTACAAGTCTTTTGAGGTTTCAGCAGTGAGTGACCTTATAGAATAATATTTCTTTGGCATTTTGGCTTTTATAGTTGTGCTATGTTGTAACGATGGGCATTCTTCTATGCACACAGTGCTGTTTATCTTAGGAGGACTCATCAGAAAAGCGCTCACACAGAATGTCTTGTCATGCCTAGCTCACCGGTTTAGCTAACTAGCGGGCAGTGAAGGCAACACTCTGCCAAGTTTATCGAACTACTCCAGCAGTGCAGTGCAAGCGCTGAGGATCAATGCGAATACTTACGGGGGAACAATGCAGACTGCCGGTTGCAAGGGTGCTCAGGAGAGCTTGATGTAGGCAGCGTAGCCCAAGATTATCAGGGCCCCAGCCAGAATCAGTAGCGTCAGAGTTCCAAACGTGTAGACAGCTCTGTCGGGGATCACAGGCTCCGCAGCCCACATTGCCCTGCATAATGCGGTGTCTATTGTACGCGTGCTCACTCTTGGAAAGTGTCGGGATAAGCGTGTTGCTTTTTAACTTCGTGCATAGAGTATTGCCTGCAGTACAACCAGCTTAAAGCAGTATTCCCAAACGACTTTCTTCGTGGCATCTGGGAACTTTTGCGCTGTTCAACATCTTGATTGACATTTTGCACTGTGTGGGTATAAAGGAGGAGGGGAGGGGCAAGTAAGGCAAAAATCTTCGGGTGCGGCTGGCCCTCGCTGGCGCCGCCCCTGATTAGTGGGCATTCAGTGAACGCAGAGATGTGCTCCTTCAGGTGTTGCAGAAAACGGTGCCAATTCCCTCGTCTTGAAGAAATCCCATCGCGAAAACAGTTGCGTCCATCACTCTGGTTTGCATTCACGAATCCTGTTTTTTTTTTTTTTGCTCTGTATGATTGATGTTCTTTTTTTCTACTTTTTTGCTGCTTGTTGGACACACTCTGAACATCCTTGCCACTTTGTTGTGCTAGAACAAGCATAGGCGCGTGCACCCAACCCCCTCCACTGCCCTATTCAGGCGCACTTCATTTCTTTTTGTGCAGGGTTATGGCTATTCACTATTTCAACTGGTTTAATGATTTAGATTGCAGCAGCGCGTGTTGTACACCCGAGAAACTTACGGTCAATTCAATGATCGCTCTCCGACAGCGAAGCATCAGTGCATTTCTCAAGTTGTGCCAGAGAGGAGAAAGATTTAATAAATGTTCGTACAACTGAATAGATTGTCAAACTGGCGTTTGTTCAGGTGGTATTTCGCTCTATACTTGGATATACAAAAGGCCAACGGCAGGTTTATGCGAGAAGAGTGCCTCATTTTCATTTTTTATGTCCATTGTTGAGGTCGTTTTTTAGGATTTAACCATGGTGTAAGTGTTTAAATCAAATCTGTATACGCATAGTGACAAACGTGGGATCGTCGTAAGTGGCAATGCTTGTAAAAACGACGCATACGGTTTCGTTATGTGATTGCGAGTTGAAATGTTTTGAGTGCGTTTTCATCTATAAGCTCGCGATCACAGAACCACTTTTCGCCTTCGCACGTGTTTCTTATGCATATATATATATATATATATATATATATATATATATATATATATATATATATATATATATATATATATATATATATATATATATATATATATACATATAAGAGCGACAGAAAGTAAATGCCAGTTTAAAATATTCGCCATTCGTATCCGCCTTACTGTGCCCTTGTTTGGCATTTCGTGCACACCAGTTTTAGTTTGAAGTACACGCAGCAACTCGCCCAGCTATAAATTGCTCGGTATAAGAGTATATTTCTTATTCGTGGACTCGACCTGCGGGAGTGAATGGGAAAAGGGGGGGTACTGCGGCAAATTTGCTCCGTCCACCTAATAGAGAATCCTGCGCGTGCCTATGAGAGCAAGCACCTCGATGTTCGAAGCGTTAATAACCAACCACTGCTCAAAAACGGAGTCTTGAAATGTTCTATAAGACCTAAATATCGGCTGTTCGTAGAAAATTTATGTGCACATTCCTAAATGCTTTGCGAGGAAAGGCACGTTCAGACTTATAGCAAGCGCAGCCGTATCGTTCACAGCTTATTGGACACGTCAGCATACGTGAAGCCCCCTACTCCAATTTAGCATGAGAAACGGAGTGCGCATGTACGTGGGTGTGTGTACGGTGACTCCGGAGCATTTCCGCTTGTGCACACATTTCATCGACGACGAGGCTGGCCGCGAGCGTTGCTGTCTGCAGCTGAGTGCAGCGTGGTTTCCGCAACATCCATTTACGCGTGGTTCTCAAGCTCGGGGCTGTGCCATTTTACAGGAGTATAGGCGCAATTGCTCCCGACGCAACCACTCGTATATTAACTACAGCTTGCAGAGACGGCATCAGTTAGTTGCGAGCGGCAAAGGTGTCCTCGTTTCTCATCAGCGACAAGGAAAGGTGCGCCTCGGTTATGGGGTGCGCCTTTTGCAGACGCATTTGGGAAAGGGGGCGAGGCGCTCCTCAGTTCCCTAGGGAGATGGGAGGGTGGGGCGTAGATGTCGGCATTGCCCCATACATTTATTTAGTCGGACTTGTTCCGGCTGTGGCGGCTGCATTTTCGATTGGGGCGAAAATGCTGTAGGCCCGTGTGCTTAGATTTAGGTGAAGAACCACAAGTGGTCAAAATTTCTGGAGCGCTCCACTAAGGCTTCCCTTATAATCGCATCGTTGTTCTGGAACGTTAAACATCACATATCAATCAATCAGGTAGGAATTGTTCCACCTTTGCTTAAATGCCGAGGTTATGAAAAATGAAGTTATCACACTTCTCGCCATGTCCTGTCTTTTGGTCCTGGGCAAGTGTATATATGAACTACATAGAGCACTTTTTGTAAACATTCCAAGAATTATGTAACACGTGTTATGATTCTTGCAGTGCTGCCAAAGCCAAACTGTCTCGCGCCAAATGTTGCTGTTAATAAATTACGCACCGGTTATGGAGCTGAGAGGTGAAAAATGTCTATATGCGCACATGTTCCTACCGCAGTTTGTGGCTACAAGTTCTGTACAATGCGCACAAGCGGCGCTAGTAATACGACGTTTACAAACGCATGTAACTAATATCGCCCGCAGGCACAGGCAACATAAGCGTGGAGAAAAAGCATGGTGTAATTGCTCAGAGTTCTACAAGTCGGGTGATAGCCAAGCGGGCCGCATAAACGAACAAAAATTATTAGTTGTTTAAATTTAGACAATGAATCCAAAAGTCACGTCTCCTCACGCTAGAAATTGAACATACAGCACGCGCGCGATAGGAGATAAATGGCAGCAGGAGCCGATACATAGCTAACGCAGTGCATAACAAACTTTATTATTATTCTGCTTCTTGGTTTATATTTTTAAATTTTTGTTCTTGGTTCGTTTGGATCCTCGCCGCTGGGCGTGCCTACAGACTACGGGGATCCTTTGTCACTGTGCTGTCTTCACTTCCGGTCGTACAGTCGATGACGTCATTAAAAAGGTGTGAAGGTAACTTTCTCTACAGGCTTTTTTCTTTACAGACAGCAGCCTCTTTTAAGCAAAACTTATCACAAGCACACTGTTTCAGTTAACGCACCTCGCTTCATTCCGATATTTCCCGAATCATCCGCCTCTAACGACCACTCTGTCTTGTTCCCAGAGATCGAGCAGCCGTGCCTCTATAGTGCCTTCACAGTTCATTCAAAATCTTTGAAAACCTCTGTATCGGGCGCAGAGGTATGTCACTGCCATATTATTGCGTAACTATTCGTCACCGTGAGATGGCGAAGAAAGAATGTTAATACTAAGATAGTCAACGTATGTCTGACCGCACATGTATAGGCTCCGTTGAGCCACGACATGCACGCGCGCTACCGGAGCTGATCGCGGAGGCCGCAGTCAAACGCACAACTTCGTCGAATGGAAGGACCTCACCTGCTGCGGGGCATTTGGGGCTTGGGCTCCGTCAGGCGGGTCATCGAGCTCTCGTACATTGTTGGTTGCTGCGTCGGAAAGATATTCGTGTCAAAAGACACAACCGGTACATGAGGACGAAAAACAAATAGTGATCCGCGTCACCTGATCTGGGCTGTTGCGGACCGAGTCGACGACGGTTTGGTCGGATCGCAAGAGAACGCTGCACCAGCTCAGCGTCGGCGGCGACAGTTGAGTCCTCGTCTTTGTCGTCTTCGAAACAGTCGAGCATCCACGGGTGCCGCTTGGCTCGCTCTTGGACCGTCCTCAACCCTGACACCTTGCGTCGGCAGAAAACCACGTTATTGCACGAACAGGGATTCAAGTTTTGATAGAGTGCCCGACGTGAATTTCTGTTATGAATGACGAATTGTAACACGACTACCCAGAAAGTTGATTCTCGTAGTAGAATACTGAGAGGGATTCTAAAATAAAGCATTGAATCTGTTAGACTGACATGTAAATTATTATTTGACAATGCTACTGCCGTTAAATTCACGTTTTCATTTGTGAATTCCACACGGATGCTTGAGCGCCTGAATGTTAGTGGTACCACGTATTTTCGTTTACTTCTTACAGCAACTTAATAACAAATCAAATCTCATGAGTCTTGGTTGAGCCGCTGACTTCCTAGAAGACAATGTACAATCTATAATCTTGTAAGACCTGTTTAAAGCCGTTAGTATAATGAATGAATGTGTGCGTAAACCTGAGATGTTATAGGCTATACCTAACCTACGGAAACAACGGGCTGCATTTGTCCTTTTTATCGGTGGTGGGTGCTTCAAGGAAACAATTTCTCGGATCAGAAGCTGTCGACCACCCACCTGAACCGGGGCTTACACTTCCTTCCCCATGTGGTCGGCGGGAGTTCATGTTTGCGAGGAGTTGCATATGCACGTGCGTCGCGCTGATGACCAGGCCATGAAACTACACCCCTCCTTGAA